TAAATAAATAAATAAATAAATCAATAATAAAACAATAATAAAACAATTTAGGGTCTGTGCGCATTCAGTAGGGCTATTGCCCTGATGTAAAAATTGTTCCTGAGTCTGTTGGTCCGTGATTTCAGCACCCTGAATCTCCTGCCGGTGGGCAGCAGCTCAAACACCCGGTGTCCTGGGTGATAAAGGGTTTTATGACTATATAGCTGCGCAGAAACATTTTATTCACAAATCAATTAAAAGATGTCAAAAAGAGAAGACATCCATCCAGCCTTACATGTTGTAACCAGAGTCTGACCAAGACAACAAAATTAGAGTTTATAGTTTATTAGAGTTTCTACGCAGCACCGAGAGACTAAATTCTAATTTTCTCCACTCCTAGAGATTCCAAGAACACAACAAAATGTATTTAACATCTAAAAAAGTGGATTTTGCCTGATATGTCCACTTAACTTTGCCACTGCGTTTATTCATTCAGATCCGTTCTTACAGTGATAACTCCTCAGTGATGAGCTGTTTGTTACGTCTACAGATATAGACGAGTGTCTGGATCAGAACATCCAATGTGGAGTGAACCGAGTGTGCTTCAACACAAGAGGAAGCTACCAGTGCATCGACACTCCTTGTCCAACAAACTACCAGAGAGATCCAGCCACAGGGTAAAAAAAGGCCGCTGTACAATGAATGTGAATGGTTTCAGCTAAAGTCTGACGACTTTAAATTAATGTCAGTGAATTTAAGTGAGGTTTTGGTTTTTAACTTGTAGGTTCTGCTTGAAGAGCTGCCCACCGAATGACCTGGAGTGTGCGTTGAGTCCGTACGCGCTGGAGTACAAGCTGCTGTCCGTCCCCTTCGGCATCGCCGCCAACCAGGACCTCATCAGGTTAGTGACCTACACCCAGGACGGCGTGATTCACCCCAGAACCACCTTCCTGTTGGTGGTGGACGAGGACGCCACGTTACCTTTTGCCCTCCGAGACCAGGACATGAAGGGAGTTCTGTTCACCACGAAGCCGCTGCGAGAGCCCCACACGTACCGCATCAAGGTACGAGCGGTCTTTTACGGCGAGGACGGCGGCATCGAGTACCAGACCACCTTCATCGTTTACATCGCTGTCTCTGCCTACCCTTACTGAGAGCACTTTAAGATGACTGGAGATGAAGGTGCGGCGATSATATGTAGCACCGTGCTGTGGGAGGAACACGGCGCCAACGAGTGGGTGTGGTTTTTGGACAAGCGAGAGAGTGAGAGGCCAGTGCACCGCCCTGAAAACGTACCAAAGATGCTGCTCGAGGAAACATGGACAAAACTGATACTTTATTGTCTCTAATCCCGCATGTTAGACAGTCAGGATAATTTAGCATGTCGTTTCTTTTCCTTTTAAATTTATTTATAAAAATCAGTCAACTGTAATTTTTCGCAGCACAAACTTCCATCAGAGACTTCAGCAAGCAGATTTCAGCTGCTCCTTTAGTTTTGTTGTGTATTTTCATTGGCTTAATAACTTTGGTTTGAGCTGATCTACAAGCTTTAAGTTTTTTTTAAGTTCTTTACCTGCATTGTTTTGCATTTTATAGACGAAGAAGAAAACCCAGAAAAGCTAAAAATCTTAAGCAACAGGTTGGGCTGGATCAAACTCAGATTTGTTTGAACTCACTTCCYACAGGACTGAGTCATCACAGCATCCTCCCCTTCGCACATTAGCTGATTAGTGTTGGTTCTTCTGGAGGCAGGATTTGAACCTGTGTTCTGCTGGACCAGTATCTTCTGGTAGTTTCAGGGCATGGACTTTCCCAAACATCAATGAGTTCTCTTTCCWTCCTGAGCTATTCGGGCGTTTGAGGATTTTGGCCTTTTATTTTTCTTAATAAATACTAAAGTTTAGTTTGCCAGAAGCTGGTTAGATATAAATATTTTCACAATCATTGGGAATTGAACCAACAAGCTGTAGATTAGTAACCGYCTCTTAATGATCTTGAGCTGTTTGTTCTGCTCACATCTTGTTCTCCACTCCTTTTCACTATTATTTTTATTCATCAGTTTTTAACGTTTATTGCAGTTGATGAAAAATAACTACTCCCAGCTGAATCGGGAATCAAACCATCAACCTTTGTTCTCTCAACCACTGCCTGGTCACTGTGCGATAATTGTTCCGAGCTAAAAAAAACTTTTCTGTTAACGTGTCAGTTTCCTCTTTAGGTCCATGAGTTTCAGACTGAAACTTTTCTGAGGATTTGATCCAACATGTTTCCAACTCAGCTCTGCTGTTTTAAAGCTTTCCATACTTTTCATTCAGGGGCGTGTCTAGAGTTTCTTTTTCTTGKGGGGGGTGGACCAGGCAGGGGCACAGACTGTTGAAAGGTGACACAGTAAAACTGCTATTTTATCTAAATTCCCTGCAGTCTTAAGGACTCGACACACGGGCAGCGACAAACTACAGCGATTAACGACTGTCATCGCAGCCAGGGTGAAACCCGAC